TATCGTGCATGTATGCCGTTGAACATATGATGAGACTAAAAATAGATATTCAACAAGATATAACTCTAGTAGCAGAATTATCTTGACGTACAGCCGCGAAGGTTTGTTTTTCGAAGCATCTTTCCTCTTTGAAACCTTTTTATAACAAACGCAAAGACAATCATTAACGCATTTATTTATTTTAATTCATTTGTTGCTAAGCTACACACTCATAATCTTAACCATAGTTCTAAATTGTCTAAAATCAAAGAGTGTAATAAGATTTACACAATCATAAAAAGGTTGACTTTCGGACTACGACGTGTTTAGATACATACGGCAGATGTGGATTTACATGCAAGTAATAAGAAAAAGTTAAAAGTTAAAAAAAAAACATTAATAATCAAAATATTAGTCATTATTAAGTATTCGATATTGTTGCTGGTTGAAGCTCTTCTACTAATAAGAAAATATTACCAGTTAATTGAATGGAAATAACTCTGGCAAACATTATAACTTTTAAATTGTTTTTTCTTCTATATACTCTCTAAAGCTTCCTCAAGGTCTGTTCACACGATCCAATTTTTTCGCATCCAATTCACTTCTGATGGATGTTTTATAGTCTGCTAACTTGCAACGTATGTGGACAACAAATGAACTAAAGTCAATGCACTACTGCTTTATCAATAAACAATTACATTCCATACCTCAGAACTGAATTGGATCCGACATCGTGTAAATGGGCCTTAAGAAAGTTTATCTCTGACAAAATCTGGGGAAACTTGGTTCAACCAAATCATATTCGACCATCCTCGTTTCAAAAGTTTCTCTCTTTGTCCGTTCACTTTTTATTTTTACTTTGTTTTTAACTGATTAAATGAATATAGGAACACACAAAAGTCTCTGACTTCATTTTTTAAATCTAAAGACAAGCATAAAAAATGTTCGAAAAGTAGCCAATAATACACAATTTTTATTCTTAAAAATTTAATGGACGCAGAAAAACATGCAAGGTTTTGGAACAATAATTTTCAAACAAACAAAATTTTAAATGAGTATACCGAAAGTGGTATAAATTGGCCACAATATGATCTGGGATTAAATATGATCTAGCCTCAAGATCTCCAGGATAAAATCAGAACTGCACAAACTTACAGTACTGTCCAGAAATAACCTAACATAACCTAACACTGCGGTTGCAGTTCGGTTAGGTTACCGTTCGGTCGCAGTTCGGTTGCCGTCGACCGATAGAAACCGAAGACGACCGCAAAGGAAAAAATACCTTCCACAGGTCGTTCGCTTCCGAACGAAATGCTATGAACAATGGGAACGACAACACAATAATCAAATTAAAAAAAAAAACTTAAGAAATGTCTGTCATACCGAGAATGAGGCCGATGTTTAACCTCCGTCTCACAGCGATTCGACCTCGGTCTGACCTCAGTTCAACCACGATCAGACCTAGGTTTGACCAAGGTTAACTGCGGTTTTTGGTAGCTTATTTCTGGACAGCATTGTAGGTCCACTTTGGCTTTCATTCAATTTGCATGTAATTAGTTACGCCAATATTCAAATGCATGTAACTTAATATTCGCTAAAACCACGTATAAACTTCGTTTTAATCAAATTTCCAATTATCTTGAAATAATCTTAGATATACAAGAAACATCAATTTTATCTGTGACTAAGGTCCACATTGCACGACACAGGATTAGCTGGTCACGACACTTTCGTTTGCCGTTAACAAGAAATGGTTGGTAGTAAAAGCTCATTGGTTTGATAGATTTGATAGATTTTTTTAGGTCAGACATAAATATTCACAGCCTTTTAAAAGCTAAAAATTTGACTGTATTCAATAGAGACCCCGTATAATGTAATTGGGCCTTACGCGTGAGATTAACTATAGTAATGACATCAGATAACCTAAAATTAAGGTTTTTTATTGATGAATATTTTGCCCTTAATTATCCAATGCTAAGAAAAGTATTTGCTCAGGTAACGATCATTTCAATTTTTACGACATTGCTCAAAGTAAACCAAATTATACATGCAAGAGATCGCGATAAACAGCCAACTCAAGAAGAAAAAGAAGTGCCAAGCAAGTTAAAACCTTAAACATCAGAATATTTCGTTATAGGTATGCAAAGATTGATGGTCCAGGTATGTTGTGCATACGCAGACTTATTTACGCGTGCACACATAATTTTCCATCAAACAATCGGAAAGAAATTGTTTTGGTTAATTTGCGTTTTGACTTTTATATGACCAGTGACGTACCAGATTTAATAAGGAGCACATTTATATATCCATGCATGTTCACTGACCGCTAGAGCAATCGATTTGTGTTTGGACTATAAGTAGAACATAAATACATGAGTATCCCCCACCCGAACTAACGAGGTGGCGACGTCGCATGTATGTGTATGGAAACCGTTTCTAGAATTGGCTGTATATTTGCACGCTTACCACAAGTACCTTCGTAGCAAATATTTTGAATCAATCGACTCTTATGCGATAAAGACGATACAAGATTTAGTCAAAAATGGATTTTTTTATTTCTTTGAACAAAATCGGCACAGTTCAAACATTCGACATATCTGATGGTGTGTCCCTAATACTACGTCGTTTATTCAAATTAAGTTGTGGGATATTATCCGTAAGTTTAATTGGCAATATTTATGTACCTCAACATTTAATTCTATCGAAAAATAATTATTTTAGTATTAATTAATGATTCGTGATATTTCCTCACCTAAGACAGAAAGTCGCATTTTCCAGGATCATTACGCTAAGGAAGCGATAAATACTTTTCAAAATTATGAATTCTAAAATGTTTGTTACCATTTCTCCCGACGGATAGAAAAGAACAAGTCGATGCATGGGACGAAAAATTGAAAATATTCATCGGGAAAACCAAAAGGTAAAAATGCAGAGGATATTATTCTGCCTTCGGACACATTAACGAAATGCATCTTACCACTAGTGAAAAGACCTACAATTTCGGAATCCATGTAAAAAGCCTTCCGAAAAAATGTAATAGGAAGAGTATGCGCAATTCTTACACCATTTCTTAAAAACTTCATAAAAAATAAAAAAAAATCCTCATCGTAAGGTGATGACATCGTGTGGGATGACACTAATACTAAACTACGAGTCATATTAGTACCAGTTAAAAAAAACCATTCAACTGATTCATTCAATTGTCCCGTTGACCGTACAAACCATCTGTTGCCACATTCTATTTCCCACAATTCATAAATTTTCCTCAAATTGCAATGTAACATAACAGCACACCCATCATAACTTATTGCGACAGAAGTGAACTTTTCACTATGGGCCTCGTCAAAATTCCAAGAAGGTATTTCTTGATGACAAAGATTTTCACCACAAATTTTCAAAATAGAAATTCTTCCATTAGTGCTAATTACAAGAACATCTTTTGTAAACATAACAGCATGACTAAAATTTAAAAAAGATTCTTCAGTTTGATTTTCTAAGATATTTGAATTCAAAGGTTCATAAGGATATTTAACAACCACGCCTTCACAGACCAACCAAAGATACGACTCAGACCACCAACACGCCACTGCTCGTTGTTTCAGTGCAACAGTTTGCAATGTTTCCCCACTGTCGGTACTTCTTATTGAAAGAATACAATTTTTAAAACAACACGCTACATACAAGTTTTCCGGAGATAATGCACAGCAATCTATTTCGCCGTTGTCGACAAAGGAAGCATCAGGAGATTCAAGAGATATAATAAATACCAGGCTTGGTTCCGCAATATGTAAAAGGAAGTTCGTCCCTTCTAATTTTGAAATGCGAAAGAAAATAAATCCAACAGGCAAAGAATCAATCTGAAAGACGTCAACTATCTTTTGGTTTACAAAATCGTATATTATCAGAGTTACAACACCTTTGGAGGAGTAATCGCTAAATGCTGCACACTTTTTTCCCTTCCATAAAAAGATTTTTGAACAGCCTTTATTAGAAAGGTCATTTGAACATTTTTTAACAGAAAGGAGGACTATCTCACCAGATGGCAAGCAAACATGATCAAAGCTAATCACATCAGATCCAACGGGATCGAATCGTTCGTCATTATCGAATAGACCATTCGGTGAACTATTCTGAATAGAATCATTACTTGATAAACACGGCGCAAAAGAATTCTTTTCAATATACACTTCTTCCAAATTGTCAGAGCGCAAGACGTTCGTATATATTGATGAGTCCGTACATATTGATGAGTCCGAGTCGTCATCCCAACCCTCATCCCCACCTAAAAGGAGAATGTAGGAACCACACAAACTAAACAAGCAACGACACCCAGGTTCACTATACACATTGTCAACTTCTGCTAATAGGGTTTTCCTCATTACATCCCACACTTGGATCAATGTCCGCCCTAATGTAGCAAGTTTCATTCCACACGAAGAAAAAGAACAACTCCAAACGTTTCCGGGACCGTGTGGAATGAAGGGTACTTCCTTTTGTTCTTTAACAAGGACGCATGACCGAATTGAATTGCATAACAAAAAGAAGGAATCAGGAGAAAAGGCAATGAAGTCATGACGATCACGGTGTGTCTTATCTACTTGTATTTTGAAAAGAGTCACGAGGCTTGGTATTTTAAGCACTTGCACCTTCCATGTATCAGTATTTAAGAGGGCAAACATCGTATTTTCCGGTGACAGAAAACTGGTAATTGAATCAACTAACAAGGCACAGGAGACATGATTTAAATCATGATTCTCTTCGTTTGTCACACGTTCTATCGAAATCTCGTTTATTGTATCCAAGATATTTCTAGCAACGTTTTTACGACACACATTATTTTCTGAAAAATCAAAGTACCCGTTTGCAAGATCTCTCAAATTATCGTCACAATATGCTAGAGGCCTAAAATCAACATTTCCTATCTTTTCTAGGAAAAAATGCACTTGAATGATGCCGTAATAAATATCTTTGTAAAGAACACTACCTTACGTGTCAAGCATTTGGTTGAAATCAATATCGGCGTCGAGATCAACAAATTTTAGTCCTAGCTAAATGAATAGCTTAGGCAAACATGCACCAACCAGTGAAATTCCCCCACCTTACCTGACTTCACCAAATAGTGCACACCATTTTCTAAAGCGTACTTAATCTCGGGTGAAATTTGAAATTCTAAAACGGACTTTAAAGATTTTATCTCACAGAGTTCTTTCTCACAAGCACGCAAAAGACGTCTATTTCCGTCTTTAACATCTGCAACAAACGCATGTTCCTCATACCCATTCAACGTCATCCAATCCCATAATGACTTATGATAAAGAGTCAGGCAACCATCATAAACTGGAAGAATTTCTGACATAATGTCAATAATCGCCGTGCGTATTTCAAATTCTTTCCAGGGCAGACCCATGCATGTAAAAAGAATTTTCAGTGGGAGAGGCACGAATGCGGTGGCAATAACATTGATAAAACTTTTTAAGATAGATGAAAAGGTATCTTGCTTTAAACGTTGGAGGCGGCTTTTCAAACGTTTGAACTGTTTTTCGTAATATCCGGCAATACCAGTAGGGATGAAATCACTTAAATCGGGTTCAATTCCCAAGCCCTTTTCTCTTAATTCATGAACTAAGTGATAAGCGTATAAAAACGATCCCTCACACCTCGAAGCAACTGACCTTATGCTATCATCAGGAAGGTTAGGTAAGTCACCACGAATGAAAAGCTCAATATCTTGATTGTGATCTTCATCATCAGGACTGATTTCAAACGGCTGTAAATGTTGAAGAACCTTCCGTACTTGTAACTCCGGTCTGCTCGAAATGAATATCTTAATCCAATCAGGCAGTTCACAAAATTTCTCGGATATCAACTCCAAAAATTCGCTCTTCATATCAGTTTTGCTCTCGTCCAAAGCATCAACAATGATCAACATTGGATCATTTCTGCGAAGAGAGTGTAGCGGATCATTTAAAAGAACACGAAATGCGTCTGACAGCGAGTCCCGAGAATGTTCACGACGAAGGATTTCGGTTAGTTTATCACGGAATCCATCAACACTATCACACATTTGGCTGGCAAGGGACTGGAGGATTCTGTGAGGATTGCTGTAATCAGAATTTCGAAAGTCGCAGAAATGGTGAGCTGCGAGTTGGCCACGTTCTCTATATAGCTCAGAGATCTTTCCAGACAAAACACTTTTTCCAGCGCCTGGACCTGCAGTTAGGATCATAACCCTGGTTTCTTTAGTCACAAACCAACTTGAGAGTTCATCAAACAACCATTTTCTAGTGCCTTCATGAAATTTTTTACAAAGGTCGTCAATCTTTCCAGCAAAGTCGAATTTAGCGAGTTTCTCGACACTTGAGTGATTAACATTGTCATCTACTTTTTTTCTTAGCTTGACTACTTCACTTTTAAAATCAATTAATTCTGTTTTTAAGTCATCGTCTGGTTGTTTAGAGTCGACAGATGAGTGATGAACATTCTCATCTACTGTTTTTCTTAGCTTAACTACTTCACTTTTAACATCACTTAATTCTGATTTCAAGTCATCGTCTTGTTGTTTCCATTTTTTCAATCTTTCAGTATAACCTTCTTCTTCAGGGCTGAGAGGAGCCACTTTCAACTCATCAATATCCTTTTGAGGAATTCCCAAGTTGACCAACGGTACCGAAATTTCTCGCCACAATGTTTGAAACGTTGTGTCGTCCAAACTTGCAGTTGGAATATGACCATACACTTCATTCCTGAACATTTTGACTCTCAAAATGTTTGCTGATATAGATGTATCGCTAACTGGAGGCATAACATTCCACCCAGTCGCTGGTGGAGACAATCCACAAATATTTCGAAGTAAGACAGTCAGTAAGGTGATATCGAAGTTGTTTGAATCTGGTGCACCAGATATTGGGAAGAGTAGATCCCATTGCGGGGCTTTAATTATATTGTATCGTATTCCCTGGAGGGTCGATCTGTTTGCATTCAATGCGGAAGCTAAGGTGGAAGGTGGATGCACTGAATGTAGAGCATATCTCAAGGCATCTCCTCCTTTATCTACCAAGAGTTGACAAACCCGGGAATAATTAGCTTTGTTTTTCATTGGATCCATTAAATTGATCTTTAAATTGAAAATTCCTGAAACCAGAGAAGCAAATGATTGGGAAATTGTTCTGATAAAAACAAGACACAATATTCAGATAATACTTCGGCTCTACTTTAAAGTCATTGTCAAACGTATTGACAAAATTTACAAGCATGCTACGTTCCTTATACCAGCGACTCAGGGAAAGGGATGACCAAATTCAGTGAGTTAAAATGGAACACCATATCTTCACAAGCATGCGGTCATATATTCGAAGGAAAAACCTTAGTTTGTTTGTTAAGGTGGTCCCCAATACGTGTAAATAGTACAGTTGGTGACACGATCTATAAAGATCAGACGCACATGGAATAATCGCGATTCGTCAAAAACGGCTTGTATATTCTTATTTATTTTTCGACAATACGTACGGCTAGAATGTGTGA